TTCAAAGCTTGGGATATGTTTTTTATAACCTAACTCTGCTTTAAGCGTCTCTTCAAGTTTATCCCTGACCTGTCTGGTGTGTTCCTTGAGCTTCATGATACTGTTTGTTCACTAATGTTCTCTAACAAACCTCTGAGGGCTTCACAGAAAAGCTGTATTTATACTGATATTAAATTACACACAGATGGACACTATTTACTAACTAAGTGACTTCTAGATAGAAAATGTCCACATCACCCAGGCAGTGAGAGGGGCACTACTCTGCAGTGTAGAAAGTCAGCTCAGGATGCAGCGTAATACATGACTATAGATTTAGGTAAGTAAAATATGCTTTTAGTTTAGAATTTTTTTAGGTAACATGGTAATACATTTGAGGGTAATAGCCAGAGATCTACTTTAACCTCCCTGGCGGTATGATTATTTCAGATTTTTGGTGCTGAAAGCGGTACCATTTTTTTGCATGGAAATATGTATTTTTTTTATTGTAGGCTGTAATTTTTAGGAAAAACTCACTGAAATCTGTCCGAACAAGAGTCTAGTAAGCATCCCGGGTATGATAAAATTTGAAACACAAAATCATAAATTATAATTTAATAAATAATCATAAAAATAATATAAAAATAATAAAAAATTTAATTCAATAATATAATCAAACCAAAAACACTGAAATGTGAAATAGAGCGCCAAGTTCGCACATTGCTGAGCTCAGTCGCAAAATCGTTTTCAGTGTCTGATGACAAATTTCCCCCACGAATCATTATCACTCAATTCTGCAAGTGGTTCTGATTTACTATCGCTGTTCTCTAGCTGATCTAAACCGCTTTTGACCTAAAGGGACACTTTTTGGACGCCGTGGACATTTCTCAGTTTCCAGGCAGAAAGAACAGACAAAATGCAGGCAGGGCGCAGGACAAAGCACTAGGGACAATATGTATGTGAAATTGGTTGAGACAGCAATGTTTTACTATGTAAAATGTAAAAAAAAAAAAAAAATGACATTTTTTAAAATTTTTAAATTTCCCGCCGCCGGCGGGCGGCGGCGGCGCCCGTACGTCTCGACGTCACAGGGACAGGACACAGAAGCCGGATGCCGGCATCGGCCGAAGGAGATGGCCGGGGACGCTGCAGGGGACACATCGTGGGAGCGCAGGGTAAGGTAAGTGAAGAACACTTGCCGGAGCAGTGCCGCAGGGTAAGCCCGAGTGTAGCTCGGGGTTACCGCTTTTGGTACTGAAATGTTACCCCGAGCTACACTCGGGAATACCGCCAGGGAGGTTAAAGTAGATCTAAATTCAATCACTGAAATCTCATATAAGGTTTATATTCCATGCTGACCACATTGCGCATGACATAGTCCACTGCCATCATTTATTAGCCAGTCAAGACCAATTATTGGCCCAGGTAGATCAGATGGCTGAATGGAGAATAAAAGAAACAGAGGAGATTAGCATTAATTAGCACTAATCACTAATTAGTAAATAAGACCAATCAAAAGCTATCTAGCCCATACTTTCATACCTGCAAGGAGAGGAGAGAAAGCTGTAAGGATTTCAAATCCCCAAACCTGTGAAATGGCTTTTCCTTGTGTGACAGCATGGGATCGGTGCAGGGAGGTTTTCCACACCGCTCCTGTGTGAACTCAGGTTATGACAAGCCTAGGTTCACACAGGAGCAGTGTGGAAACCACATGTGATTTGGACAGGAACCTCACTCCGTTCCTGTTCAAATTGCATGCTATTGTTTGCGGTGCAATTTGCGTTTATACATTTTGCATTGACGCAAATTGCACCGCAAAGTATCAGGTTCGGCTAACGGGAGCATTTTTTCACGAGTATGAGTATCTTTGCATTCCAAATTGAATGTAATATTACATTACTGCAGTATTAACTGCATGCTGTTATCAGAATACTGCATTTTTTTAATAGTTGTAAATTAAAGTGTACACCCAACACAAACAATGGATTGAGTAGAGAAGGGTTAAAACATATTTGTGCTTTAATTGCAATCTGCTTACCCATTGGAGAAAATTTCCTGGCTTCCTGTCCCAGTGACACCAAGAAGTGTTGAATATCCCCTCAGTGAAGCCGTAGACACCAATGAAAACCTGAGAGAGGTTCTTATCCTTGCTCACTCTAACCCAAAACTAGAAAAAAAGTTATGGCTTGTGCATTCACTCAGCCATGTTAAATATGCATGAACTTGCTATTTAAATATTAAAATGTCCATATTCTTTTATGTCAAGAAAGTGAATAAATAAAATTACCCTTGAACAATTTGCAGCATATGGTGTTTAAAAAAATAATAATAACAGACATTCTTCCTGAGGTTGAAACAAGCTTTGACACAGGTGAAATTTCAATTACAAAATAATTTGGAAGTTCAGCAGAATTTTTGAGGAACATCTGCTTATCACTTACTGTTTCAAGTTAGGAATACATGATGCACATACAATGTGAATGTTCAACAGCTGACCAATTACAGATAATCAATGTTCCGCTGATTACAACTTTTCCTTAACAAAAATAAATAAGCATTTAATTGTACCAGCTGCCAATTCTTGCAAGCTTTGAGGAAGAGAAAAGATTAAAGTTTCTTCATGTTAAAATATTATTTTACTGTAGGTCATCTGATGTTATAGACTTAAACAAATATGTATACAAGGAAATTTTCTTAAGAGGTGCATTTCCTAGCTATATGAATAATACCTTATATTTGATAAACATGTCATCATTCAAATAAAAAGTGCTATTACAAGTTGGCAGAAGGGTGACTAAATGAAATTACCAGTCCATAACGTGCTCAATCCAAGAGGGGTGTTTAATAGCTCCAATCCCTGGATGTCGTGGATCGCCTTGAATAAAAGGTAAAATTGCGCATTCGATCAAAAATGCCGCAATTGAAATGCGCATCAATAGCTTCCTGCTGATTCCGAGGTCACCATATGGATCTGGTCAATCTGGTCACAGAAAGCCCTCCGCCACCTGGTAGTGTACTCCACAAAAGAGAAAATGCAGCTTCTGCAGATAAAAGTTTCTCGTCCCAACAGAGCCCAAAGAAGGAGGCCAAATAGTGTGATACCAGATAGGTGAATAGGGGTATTTCCCATGCTAGTTCGCCACTAAAATATTTGTGTAATGCGATCATGTCACCTCTTAGAGGCATAAGAAGGATACTGACCAGTAATGGTGGGACTCACCTGCCTTGTGGGCTGCAGTACCAGGGCTGGCCAGCGGGTGCTCTCAGGAATCAGAGACTCAACCCTGCAGTCAGCCAAACACCTGAAGCTGATTACGGACGTATTTAAGGGAGGCAGTCTGGGCCTTGGTGTGTGCTTTTCCATAGGCCCCTGTATCTTGTAACCTGCGTTCCTGTTCCTGTTTCTGCCTCTGCCTGACTTGTTGCTGACCCGGCCTGATCCTGACCTCTGCTGACTTCTCCTGTTTTGATCCCTGGCTTGTGACCCCGACGATTTCTCTCCGCCTGCTCCTCCTGTACCTACCTGCCCGATAGTTATCGACCCGGCCTGCCTGATTACGTTGTGCTCTATATGTGTATGTACCTGTGTATCTGTATCAGTTTAGGTTTGGGTTTGTTTCACCTTGTTGGTATGTATTTGTGTTAGCTTGGGGTTTGGTGCACTGCGTTTATGTTTGTATTGTTAGTCTTTAATAAATTGTCTTATTTTATACCATATCTGAAGCTTGCGTTTCCCTGTGTCAGTACACACATCTCTGGTCACACCCGCATCCCTGACATTACACCAAGGCCATTCCTGACCAGAAGTGGCTGCACAGGGAAGCCATCTTGGCTTGTTGCTGGGAAGGATGGATCTTGATGAGGTTGTGTATTTGTCGCTGCTGGTTTTTGATGACAGAGAATATGCTTATCAGACTCTGAGGGAGTATACCCGGGATCAACTGCTAGAATGTATACGGATCGCTCATGTTCTAGTAGATCAGGGCACAGAGTTCTCTGAGGTGCAACCTTTGATTCAGGTTTGTGTAGAGTTGGCTTCATCTGGTACTCCTGAAAGGAGGAATGACTTTTTGCCACCATTTAGTGCAGACCAGGTAGAGTCCCTGGTTGGTTATTAGAGGATGATGTGGATTGCTTCTTGGAGCATTATGCTGCATGTTCACCACAGATATTAAGGGATTGTATAAACGCAGTGCAGTCTTTGACCAGACAGGCTTTGCGTAAGCTCAGCTTTGTTCAACCCATACTGCAGAGATGGTCAGACTTGTTGCACCCAGCCTCAGTCAGCTTGCAACGTCATTCCTCTGCTCAAGGCACTCTTCCTGCATCCCCGACAGCACCCCCAGTGATGGCCCAGTATACTCTGCTAACTACCACATACCAGTCCCCTGCTCCCACTCGCTGCACCTATTCTTTCTTTGGCCCTGTGGAGAGGTCCTCTGTGGCGGCTGCTCCCTCCTCTGTTCCATCTTCCAGCTCTTCTCTGTCCTCAGCTGCTCCATTCGTTTGCAGACCTGCGTTTACTTGCAGTGCTCCAGTAGTTAAAACCAGAAAAAAAGCGTTAAAAATTCTTTCCAACCAGTACCATCCTGCCAGTATCCAAACTGGTGAGCCTGCCGTCTGAGAACCTGCCTTCCGTGGTTCAGCCTGGTGCCTCGGCACCCCGCACTTCAGCCTGATGTCTCTACCCAGCCTGATGTCTGTACCGAGCCTGATGAACTGATCCAGCCTGATGATCCTATCACGCCTGATGACCCAGTGCCCGCTGTCATACCTGGTGACCCCGATGACCCCGCTGTCGAGCCAGACGATCCGATACCTGATGACCCGATGCCCGCTGTCGAGCCAGACGATCCAATGCGCTGATGACCCAGTGCCGATCCTGTCATGCCTGGTGACCCGATGCCCGCTGTCGAGCCAGACGATCCGATACCTGATGACCCGATGCCCGCTGTCATACCTGGTGACCGATGCCCGCTGTTGAGCCAGACGATCCAATGCCTGATGACCCAGTGCCCGATGTCATGCTGGTGACCCGATGCCTGCTGTCGAGCCAGACAATCCAATGCCTGTTGACCCAGTGCCCGCTGTCATGCCTGGTGACCCGATGCCCGCTGTCGAGCCAGACGATCCAAAGCCTGATGACCCAGTGCCTGCTGTCGAGCCAGACGATCCAGCGCCAGAATGACCTGGTGCCTGCTGTCGAGCCAGACGATCCGGTACCTGATGACCCGGTGCCCGCTGTTGTGCCAATTGACTCAGAGCCCACTGTCGTGCCTGGTGACTTGGTGCCCACTGCCTTGCTGGCGAGATGGCATGGTGACCCGATGCCCGCTGTCGAGCCAAATGACCTGATCGAGCCAGACGCCTGGTGACCCAGTGCCCGCTGTCATACCTGTGACCCGATGCCCCTGTTGCCAGATGGCGGTGCCAGCCAATCCAATGCCTGATGACCCAGGTGCCCGCTGTCTTTCCTGGTGACCCGATGCCCGCTGTCGAGCCAGACGATCCAATGCCTGATGACCCATGCCTTGCCCGCTGTCCGAGCCAGATGATCCAGCCTGCCAGATGACCTGGTGCCTGCTGTCCAGATGACCCGGTGCCTGCTGTCGAGCCAGACGATCCGGTACCTGATGACCCGGTGCCCGCTGTCGTGCCAATTGACTCAGAGCCCACTGTCGTGCCTGGTGACTCGGTGCCCACTGCCTTGTCAGATGACGCGGTGCCCGCTGTCAAGCCAAATGACCTGATGCCTGGTGACCCGATGCCCGCTGTCGAGCCAGACGATCCAATGTCTGACCCAGTGCACGCGGTCATGCCAGTTGACTCGGAGCCCACTGTCGTGCCTGGTGATTCGGTGCCCACTGCCTTGCCAGATGACGCGGTGCCCGCTGGCGAGCCAAATGACCTGATGCCTGGTGACCCGATGCCCGCTGTCGTGCCTGATGACCCGGTGCCCACTGCCTTGCCAGATGACACGGTGCCCGCTGTCGAGCCAAATGACCTGATGCCTGGTGACCCGATGCCCGCTGTCGAGCCAGACAATCCAATGTCTGACGCAGTGCACTCGGTCATGCCAGTTGACTCGGAGCCCACTGTCGTGCCTGGTGATTCGGTGCCCACTGCCTTGCCAGATGACGCGGTGCCCGCTGGCGAGCCAAATGACCTGATGCCTGGTGACCCGATGCCCGCTGTCGTGCCTGATGACCCGGTGCCCACTGCCTTGCCAGATGACACGGTGCCCGCTGTCGAGCCAAACGACCTGATGCCTGGTGACCCGATGCCCGCTGTCGAGCCAGACAATCCAATGTCTGACGCAGTGCACTCGGTCATGCCAGTTGACTCGGAGCCCACTGTCGTGCCTGGTGACTCGGTGCCCACTGCCTTGCCAGATGACGCGGTGCCCGCTGGCGAGCCAAATGACCTGATGCCTGGTGACCCGATGCCCGCTGTCGTGCCTGATGACCCAGTGCCCACTGCCTTGCCAGATGACGCGGTGCCCGCTGTCGAGCCAAATGACCTGATGCCTGGTGACCCGATGCCCGCTGTCGAGCCAGACGATCCAATGTCTGACCCAGTGCACGCGGTCATGCCAGTTGACTCGGAGCCCACTGTTGTGCCTGGTGACTCGGTGCCCACTGCCTTGCCAGATGACGTGGTGCCCGCTGGCGAGCCAAATGACCTGATGCCTGGTGACCCGATGCCCGCTGTCGTGCCTGATGACCCAGTGCCCGCAGCTCCGCCTGGGGGCACAGTGCCTGCCGCCCCACCTGGGGGCCCTGTGCCTGCCGCTCCTCCTGGGGGCCCGGTGCCCGCCGCTCCGCCTGGGGGCCCGATGCCTGTCGCTCCGTCTGGTGGCACGGTGCCTGCTGCTCCTCCTGGGGGCCCGGTGCCCGCCGCTCCGCCTGGGGGCCCGATGCCTGTCGCTCCGCCTGGGGGCCCGGTGCCTGTCACTCCGCCTGATGGCCCGGTGCCTGCCGCTCCTCCTGGGGGTCCGGCGCCCGCCGCTCCACCTGGGGGCCCGGCGCCCGCCGCTCCGCCTGGGGGCCCGGTGCCCGCTGCTCCGCCTGGGGGCTCGGTGCCTGTCGCTCCGCCTGGGGGCCCGGTGCCTGCCGCCCCACCTGGGGGCCCAGCGCCCGCCGCTCCGCCTGGGGGCCCGGCGCCCGCCGCTCCGGTGCCTGCTGCTCTGCCTGGTGGCCCGGTGCCTGCTGCTCCGCTTGGGGGCCCGGCGCCTGCCGCTCCGCCTGGGGGCCCGGCGCCCGCCGCTCCGGTGCCTGCTGCTCCACCTGGTGGCCCGGTGCCTGCTGCTCCGCCTGGTGGCCCGGTGCCTGCCTGCTGCTCCGCCTGGTGGCCCGGTGCCTGCTGCTCCGCTTAGTGATCTGGTGCCTGCTGCTCCGCCTGGTGATCTGGTGTCCAGCCCAATGTGCCTCTGTCCGGTGTCCAGCCCAATGTGCCTCTGCCCGGAGTCCAGCCCAATGTGCCTCTGCCCGGAGTCCTGCCCGATGTGCCTCTGCCCGGAGTCCAGCCCGATGTGCCTCTGTCCGTCCGGAGTCCAGCCCGATGTGCCTCTGCCCGGAGTCCAGCCCGATGTGCCTCTGCCCGGAGTCCTGCCCGATGTGCCAGTCTTTGATATCCCGCCAGTTACCAGACCCGGGCGGTGGAACATTTTGCCCAGCTAGGACTGTTTGGAGCGTCCTGAGGCCGCTCCTTGAGGGGGGGGGGGGGTACTGTCAGGAATGGACTTGCCAATAATGGTGGGACTCACCTGCCTTGTGGGCTGCAGTACCAGGGCTGGCCAGCGGGTGCTCTCAGCAATCAGAGACTCAACCCTGCAGTCAGCCAAAAACACCTGAAGCTAATTATGGAGGTGTATTTAAGGGATGGCCAGACCTGCAGTCTGTGCCTTGGTGTATGTTTTTCTATGGGCCCCTGTATCTTGTTACCTGCATTCCTGTTCCTGTTCCTGTTCCTGCCTGACTAACTCATTGCCGACCCTGCCTGATCCTGACCTCTGCTGACTTCTCCTATTTGATCCCTGGCTTGTGACCCCGACCATTCTCTGCCTGACCCCCTGTACCTACCTGCCCGTTAGTTGCTGTACCCGGCTCGTGACCTGACTACTCTCTGTCTGCTCCTCCTGTTCCTACCTGCCCGATTGTTATTGACCCGGCCTGCCTGACTACGCTTGCATTGTATGTATTGTTATCTGTGGGTGGTTTGGTTTGGTTCGTTTGCACTGTGTTTATGTTTTAGTATTGCACTGCCTTTTGTATTGTTAGTATTAATAAATTATATTGTTTATAACATATCTGAAGCCTGCGTTTCCCTGCGTCAGTTCACATACCTCTGGTCATACCCGGAGCCCTGACAGAATGTCTTATGAGGGTGAGAATAGAAGGTATATTGGCGCTTTATCAGGTTAAGTTCTCTCCAGGTATTTATCATGGAGTAACATTGTAGTATGGCTTGGAAGGTTTGTTTGGAGGTGGGTGGGTGGGAGGGGGGGTTGAGGGGACTTGTCTAGGAAGGGATATAAGGTACAATTTGAATCTCCGCAAACTAATAGTGTACCACGTTTATGGTGGTCAATGACCGATAATAGGTGGGAGAGAAACGGTAAGGGACCTTGGTTCGGGGCGTAGTATGTTGCAATGGTGACTTCTACATCCAAAAGTTGCCCGGTTAGTAGAAGATAACGACCTTCAGGATCTTTAATCCCAGTATGCAGTGTGAAGGGCGTCGTACGGTGGAAGGCAATGAGTACTCCTCTGCGTTTGGTAGCGGTGGAGGCTTTGTAGACCTGTGGGTAGCGGGGGCCAAAGAATTTGTGAGTTGAGGAAGGAGTGTAGTGTGTCTCTTGAAGGCAGACTATATGAGCTTTAAGGAGCGGAATGCCTTGTTGCGTTTCTGTGGTACGTTAAGGCCTTGAACATTCAGGGTGAGAATATTTAAAGAACCCATGGGTAGAGTGTATAGCGAACCAGATAGTAGGGTGTTACCAGCTGGAAGGGAATCTGATAGTCAGGGGCGGACTGACCATTTGGGAAACTCGGCACTGCCCGAGGGCCCGGGGTCAGTAGGGGGCCCCATGAGATGCCCCTGGTACCTTTTTCATAGGCTTTGAGTTTGGGCAAGGACACAGGGGCCCCTTGATCCCCTATTTGCCCGGGGGCCCCATGGGTTGTCAGTCCGCCCCTGCTGGTAGTCATGGTAGAAAGCAGTTGGGTGGGATAAGGAGTTAGACAGAGTTGTGGAGTCATGTAGGGGGGAGGAGGGAAGGATGGAGTTCAGGAAAGGTGTCAGGAGGGGGATGTAGGGGGCCATACTAGGGGCTAGTGCTGGGTGCGCAGGTACGTGGGCCGCGGCGAAGACAGCATATAAACAAATGTATGGTGATGAGATCCTGGGGAAAAAAACCATTAAGGTTGGCTCTGAGAGGATTCAGGGGGTCCTAGGTTCGGGCGGCATCGGCCATCCAGGTAAACCAGTAAAGATGAGAGGATGAGTGGTCTCCCATGCCGCCAGAACCGAGGTCCCCGTACATATATTCAAACATAACTGTTTAAAAATGAGCCCAACAAGTAGCATATAAGGCACAACAAGCTCTCAACAATATAAGAGAGAGAAGTTAAGATGACCCTTAGCTTGCAGGAAAACAAGAAAGAGTTTTCTCAGTACATGTTAATACATTGAGAAAAAAGAAAGAAAAAGGAAGACAATTGAAAAAGATCAAAATTACAGTATGGACCCTGACGGCTAACATCAGGATACGGATGCCTAACGTCTGCATCTGGGTGAGAGATGAGGAGGACAGACACCATTGGTGTCAACTACTGTGATGGCGGAGTTCCACATTGATGTGAGTAGGCGGTAGGGTGGAAGTTGGTTGGTGAGATTCAGTCCATGGAATCTTGTGGAGACGGAGCAGGGGATGAAAACGCCCTCTTTTGTGGGTATTGAGTTGACCAATGACGAGGTGTGGAAGGTGAGATTTCTGTGGTGAGCAGGATGCTGAATGCCGTCTGGAGCTTCTGATGGTGTTGTTGGTGGATGTAGCTGGAGGTTCCGCAGGGTGTCCAGTAATTCATCAGGGGTCTTGCAGATGTAGTCTCGGGCCTGGTAATGGAAACGCACTGCGAAGGGGAAGCTCCTTTTATATGGTATGCCTTGATGTTGGAGCGCCTGTAGATGAGGTTTCATGGCCCTGCGTTTGGCGATGGTAGTAGGGCAGAGGTCTTGAAACAGTTGGTAGGTGTGACCTTGGAATGTGAGGGATTCTGCATTGCGAGCTGCTTGTAGGAGTTGCTCTTTAGTGCGAAAAAAGTGGAGTTTGGCTATGATATCGCGTGGTGGGCCATCGGTGCGTTGTGGAGCTAGTGCTCTATGAACCCTGTCCATTTCCAGGCGTTCTATTGGAATA